CCTGAACCAGCTGGAAAAAAGAGAAAAACTAAAAATTGCACTTTTTTGGCTTTTCCTCCAAGGGCAAAGCTGGAAGTAGCCAGGAAAGCACCAAGAGAAGTGATGATGGAAAAGGATCAGCCAGAGAAATCCTGCCCCAAAATGCGGTTTCCTCCCCAAAATGAGGTTCCCTCCCCAAAACGGGGTTCACAAAACGGGATTTCCTCCCCAAAATGGGATCCCAAAATGGGATTCCCTCCCCAGAACGGGATTTCCTCCCCAAAATGGGGATCCCAAAATGGAATTCCCTCCCCAAAATGGGATTCCCCCCCAAAATCTCCCAGTTTCCCCCAGTCCCATCGAAGCACCGAAGGTGACTTTGCCCTCGCGCTGTGGCTCAGAGCGGGGTGGGAGCCGGGACCGGGACAGGACAGGGACAAACAGAACCAGCCAGAGCGGGTTAACTCCAACCCAAACGTGGGAGACGTSACAAAACATGGGGAAGGTGTCAGGGCATCAAAGCTCGACCCCAAAACACGGAWTGTGTCACATTCAACCCCTGACAATTTAGGAACAGGGACCTTGAAGCCACCCCATCACACTTCAGGGATCCAGAAACAGCGCCAGCTTCTCTGGGCATGTGCCAGGGAACGCTTCCTCCCCCATACCCAACAAAATCCTGCACTTCAGAGATTTTTTTTTTYCCATTTCTGCTGCTGCACGGCCTGGCAAAGCCCCGTGGGCATCACCGCCGTGTGCCAGGAGCGCTCCCCGAGCCTGCAGGAGCCTGGCACAAGCGGCGCTTCCCTGCCAGGCGCCCGCGTCGTGAGCGGCAGCGCTGCCAACTTCTGTGCTGCAGCCCCGGAGCGGCTGTTCCCGAGCAATTTYGGGGAGGGAATCGGGGAAAAAGCACTTCCAGCCCCAAAATCCAGGCAGATCTCAGCGAGCCGGGGGCGTGGGGAGGCAGAAATAGCAGGGAAAAACGGCTTCGTCACGCGCGCGGGGCAAGGCAGGGATGGAACATCCTAAAAAAGATGTGACAAAAGCGTTTGGGACGGCAGATCGAGGGTGAGGGTGGCACGGGAAGGCAAAGCTGGAGCCTAGGAGAGCGCGGYTTTGGGCAGGAGCAGCTGCGATCCGGCTAATCCGCGCTGATCCCGGGGGATTGGGGCTTGGTGTCGAGTCCTGCCCCTTCCAGGGCTCCGGGGACTCAGGGAAAGGATTAATCGGTGTTTTTACACAGAAAATCCGTGCGTGCAGAGGGCAGGGCCGCTGAGGAAAACGATTTGCGTCTGTCGAGTCTTATCTGCTCCAGCCTGAGGCACAAAAGCAGCCCCTCCTTCCCCTTCCTCTCCCGGGAATTCGTTAATCCTCCCGGCAGGATTAAAACGATCAGCGCCGAGAACAATCCCGGCTCGGTGGGATCAGGGAGCCGCTCCCCGGGGAGAACAATCCCGGCTCCGGGAGAACAATCCCGGCTCGGTGCTCCCCGGGAGAACAATCCCGGCTCGGGGAGAACAATCCCGGCTCGGTGGGATCAGGGAGGATCACGGAGCTGCGGAAGAATCGGCGCCGGGCAGGAGCAGGGAGCAGTGTCACAGCACAGCAGCGGCGCGGTGCCATCGGAGAAGGTGCTGCCGTTTGCACGGCTCGTTAATCTCGGGCCCAGCTCCAGGCCCAGCTTTGTTGAGTTCACACCGCTCCGGGCCCGGCTTTGCTCAGTTTCCAGTGCAGCAGGCCCAGCTCTATTCAGCTCCCACCACAGAGGGTGCAGCTCCAGGCCCGGCTTTGCTCAGCTCCCACCGCTCCAGGCCCAGCTCTGTGCCCAGCTTTGCTCAGCTCCCAGCGACTGCAATTACAGGCAAACGCCGTTAATTGGCTTCTGCCATTTCTGTCACCGTCACCTTGTGCTGTGGCCCTGCCATTTCTGGCACTGTCACCTCGTGTGTGCCCTCCTCAGCCTCTCCCACCTCAGCAGAGCTTTTTCTGCAGTGTCCCTGTCCCCTTGGTGGCCCYGGAGATCGGGGACACAACCCCGGACAGATCCCACACAGCAGGAGGGGAATTGGATGCATTTAATCCAGGGATGGAGCCAGACAGGGAAGGGATGTGGGGACAGAGCAAAGGCTGCAGAGCTGCAGGGGCCGCGGCTTTTCCTTCCTCYGCGCCGCACAAAGCGCCGAGCTCTCAGCCCTGGGGGTCAGAGGGAGAAGGTTGGAGAGAGGAGCTGGAGCTGCGCTCAGAGCTGCCAGGAGAGAAAAGGAGCGGCCACCCYGCAGAGCATCCCCACCCCACAGAGCATCTCCATCCCACAGAGCGTCCCCACCCCACAGAGCGTCCCCTGCACAGAACCAGGGCCAGGAAAGGGGCAGCCACCCTGCAGAGCACCCCCCACCCCACACAGCATCCCTGACCCCACAGAATCAGAGCCAGGAAAGGGGCAGCCATCCTAGAGCATCCCCCACCCCACAGAGCATTCCCCACCCCACAGAGCATTCCCCACCCCACAGAGCATTCCCCACCCCACAGAGCATTCCCCGCACAGCCCCAGCCCCATCCCCATTCCCATCCCCGCACTCACCAGCCCAGCAGATATTCAGGGAGCGCCCCCAGCGAAGATGAGCTCCAGGGCAGCCTGGATGTCCCCTCCCGTGGCCTGCAGGGCGCGCAGGCTCAGCTCATCGTCGTGGATTCCCATATCCCGCAGCTGCTGCAGCTGGGGCTGCCACTGGCTCTGCTGCCAAAGGGGACAAGGGAAGGGTGGAGGGGAAAATCCCAGCAGGAAAACCCAAAGCTGTGTCCCAAAAAACGAGAGATGTGTCCAAAAAACCCAGAGCTGTGTCCCAGCTCTGGCAGCTCCAGCCACGCTGCTGGGTGCCAGAAAGGTCAGGATGATGCTGCAAAGACCCCAAATCCACCACCCCTGCATCACCCACACCACAGAGCATTCTCCACCCCACACAGAACCAGGGCCAAGGAAGGAGCAGCCACCCCATAGAACATCCCGCACCCCACAGAGCACCCCCACACAGAACCAGGGCCAGGAAAGGAGCAGCCACCCCATGAAACATCCCCACCCCATACAGCATCCCCTGCACAGAAACAGGGCTGGGAAAGGAGCAGCCACCCCATAAAACATCCCCCACCCCACACAGCATCCCCTGCACAGACCCAGGGCCAGGCCAACCACCCAGAATTTCTGCAGTGTCTGTGCTGCCCCTCCCAGCTGACGGAAGGCAGCTCCACCTCCACCCTATAACAGWGGGATTTCGGATTGTGGGGATGGCACTGACCTGGAGGCTGGGCTGCCCTGAGGCCTGCAGGGCGTGCTGGAGGGCCTGGCTGAACAGGTCGTTGGTGATGGGTGTCCCTGACTGGACACTGGAGGACATCGGGGACGTCCCAGAGGAGTGGCCCTAGCAGGAGGTGTAGGATCAGAAGGCTCACAGGAACCCCACAGCAAACCCCATCCACAATCCCACATGGAAGAGAGCTCAGCCGTGGGGGAATGAAGGTTTTGGATGTCCCAGACATGAGCCAGGCTGTGATGGGATCATATGGAAGATATGGATCACGGCTTTTAATGAGGAAAGGAAGGTTCCAGGTGTTCTAAACCMAACCACAGCTGTACTGGGATCATATGGATCACAGATTTCCATGGGGGAATGATGGGTCCAGGCATCCCAAACCCAAGCCAGGCTGTGCTGGCTGTTCCCTGCGTGCTGGGATCCCATGGAAAATATGGATCACAGATTTCCATGGGGAAATGAAGAGCCAAGTGCCCCAAACCCAACCAGGGCYRTGTTGGGATCATATGGAAGATACAGATCATGGATTTCCATGGGGGAATGAAGGTTTTTGGTGTTTCAGACCTGAGCCAGGCTGTACTGGGATCATATGGAAGATATGGATCACGGATTTCCATGGGGGAATGAAGAGCCAGGGGTCCCAAACCCAACCAGGGCTGTGTTGGCTGTTCCCTGGGTGCCAGGGGTGGGATCAAATGGAAAAGAACTCCTCCCTGAGGGAATGAACAGCTCCGTGTGCCAGAGCTGAGATGGGCTCAGCCCTGAGGGAATTAAGAGCTCCGTGTCCAGGATCTGAGATGGGCTCATCCCTGAGGGAATGCAGAGCTCCGTGTCCTAGACCCAGCAGGGCTGGGGCTGGCTGTTCCCTGGGTTCTGGGATCACCCAAAGAAGGGAAAGCAGAGGTGGGTGTGCCAGCCCCAGGCAGGACCCAGCTGTTCCCTGGGTTCTGGGATCACCCAAAGAAGGGAAAGCAGAGCTGGATGACCCAGCCCCAAGCAGGACCAGCGCAGTTACCTGGGTGCCCGGGGTGGGGGTGTGGGAGCTGCTCTCAGGGGTGCTGGCCAGGGCCARGGCAGTGGCCAGCTCACTCTGGGTGATGGGCCGAGGGCCCGCAGCCCCCGCGTAGCCCAGAGAGGCTGGCCGGGAGCCAGATGTGCTGCTGGAAGGGGTGGACCTTGTACTCTGTGTGGATACAAAAAGGAAAAGAAAGGAAAAGAGAAAGAGAAAAGAGGAGAGAGGAGAGAGGAGCATCAGCTGTGATATTGGGGCTTGTGTCCTGGTCAAACCTAGCCCGTTTCCATTCCCCTTCCCACAGATCCTTTTCCTCCAACACCCGGAACTCCCAAGTGTGGAAATTTTGAAAGGCAAACACGACAGYGGGATGTGCTTTTTCCACACAGTCAGCTGTGGAGACCAGCAGGAAACCTTTCAATCTGTCATCCACCAGCCTGAAACCTGAGCGTCACCGGCCTGTGACAAAACAATTCCCTGCTGACACGTGCTTTTCCAACCCAAATAACCAGGTTTTGTCCTTTGGAGAGGAAAGGACAGCAGGGCAGGGAACGACATTCCCACGCTTCACCCTCACCCAGGCACAATTTGGCCACAAAGGTGTTTCCTCTGCTCCGTTGTCCCGCTGTGAGTGCAGCACTGAGGGAAATGCTCTCTCCAGCAGCAGGGAAGCAGCCAGGGTCAATGTTTGCCTYCACACCCGTCTGGGGAGCCAGACAGGAAGGGAAAAGCTCGAGAGCCTCAGGGCTGAAATTTAAACCCAAACCACAAGCCCTAAAGCAGTTGTTGCACCCAGCTGCTCACCTGGTGGAAGTCATCTTCATCGTCGGASAGCCCCTCGAAGAGAAAGCCACCTGCAGCGGGGAGGGGAATAAATGATGTGGAAAAGGGGCAGGAGTTTGACAATCCTGCGGGGTTTCAGGAGTTTGACAATTCTGCAGGGTTCAGGGGTAGGAGTTTGAGAATCCTGTGGGGTTCAGGGGCAGGAGTTTCAGAATACTGCAGGGTTTCAGGGGCAGGAGTTGGGAGAATCCTGCGGGGTTCAGGGGAGAAGTTTGAGAATCCTGAGGGGTTTCAGGAGCAGGAGTTTGAGAATCCTGCAGGGTTTCAGGAGTTTGACAATCCTGCGGGGTTTTGGGGACAGCAGCTTGAGAATCCTGCAGGGTTTCAGGAGTTTGAGAATCCTGCGGGGTTTCAGGAGTTTGAGAATCCTGCGGGGTTTCAGGAGTTTGACAATTCCGCAGGGTTCAGGGGCAGGAGTTTGACAATCCTGCGGGGTTTCAGGGGCAGCAGTTTCAGAATCCTGCGGGGTTTCAGGATTCCCGCTGAGCCTGACGTACCTGGCATGTCGCGATAGGAGCCCGAGGCCATGGCCCGCGATGACGTGTCCGGGGCTGGCAGGGGGGTGCTGCCCGCCACCGAGTGCAGCACCAGGACGATGGCATTGACCAGGGCAGGGTGGGCAGGGATCAACCTGGGCACAAATGGGGCGAGGCTGAGCCCAGGGGACAGGGGGACGCCGCAATCAGCCCTGTGGGACAGGGCACGACCACCCCCAGTGACACCGCTGCCAGCAGCAACTCCTCTGGGCATGGTAAACTTTCCTGTGGCTCACCAAGGAACCTTCTGGATCTCATGTGGGGCCTTCCCATGGTTCACCAAGGAACCTTCTGGATGCTAGTGACCTTCCCATGGCTCACCCTCCTGGAGCCCTGTGACCTCCCCATGGCTCACCGAGGAACCTTCTGGATCCCAGTGACCTTCCCATTGCTCACCAAAGATCCTTCCGGATCCCACATTGGACCTTTCCTTTGTTCCCCAAGGATCCTTGGGGAACCGGGGCTCCAGGAGGATCCTTCTGGATCCCCTGTTAATTTTCCCTGGTTCCCCAAGGATCCTTCTGGATCCCCTGTTAATTTTCTGAAGGAGAAGCATCYCTCTGGCAGCAGAAGCAGAGTTCTCCCACCCACAGGAACACACAGGGGTCATACAGGGGACACAGGCGGTACTCAGGGGACACGCAGGGGACACASAGAGGACACAGAGGGGGCATGCAGGGGACACAYAGGGGACACTGGGGCACTGCTGACTCACTGGCCCAGCTCGGGGCACTTACGTGTCCAGCATGCCGGGGTCTGCAAACACGGAAAACAGATCCTTGTCCTGCAGAACTCCTGGAAAAGCCCAGGAAAYGCAGTGAGACAAGAAACCAGAAACAGGAGCCAGACATACAAAAGCCACAGACAAACAAGAATTGTTTTCCAGGAACTGAGTCACAAGTAAACACCATCAATAGACTCATTGTTTCTCTGAAGCCTTTGTGTCACAGCCACACTCCCAAGGGATGAAGCTTTTCCAGCAAATCCCATAGCGGCTCCACCTCAAGGGCAGGATGGAGTCTGGGCCCCAGCTCCCCACAGCCAGGCTGTGACTGCATCCCACATTCCACCTGCCTGGACTGGCACCATCCCAGAATGAGCAGGCTGCATTTAATGAACAATTCTGTGCTAGGGAAAAAGCATCCATCCCCACTGTTCCCTAATCCTTCTGGAGACAGAACCATCCATCCCCACTGTTCCCTAATCCTTCTGGAGCCAGAACCCATTCCCCGGAGAAATCATCCATCCCTCCTTTCCCTAATCCTTCTGAAGCCAAAACCCATCCCCAAGGAGAAACCATCCATCCCCACTGTTCCCCAATCTTTCTGAAGCCAGAACCCATTTCCCAAGGAGAAACCTTCCATTTCTTCTTTCCCTAATCCTTCTGAAGCCAAAACCCATCCCCAAAAATCACCAAAGGAATGCAACTGACACCTGAGCAGTCACTCTTACACTCCAAAGCGTTTATTTTCTTTTTTTTTTTTTTTTTTTTTTTTTTTCAGAGTAACACAAAAATAGAGAAGCAATTAAATATCCTTTCATAAATTATAAGCTTCACAGCATATAAAATGTTTTTTTTTTTTTCTTCCCAGAGGGGTTGTCCCTTCTCCCTGTCAGGAATTTAACCCTCTCCCCTTCCCCATCAAGAGTCAAACCTTCCCTCGGATCCTCCAGATCCCAGATGGACTCACCCAGAGCCACAGGGTCGCTGCTGAGGCCAGGAGTTGCCACAATAATCTGATCCAGGGACTCCTTGTTTCCCAGCATCTTGAAGACCTGCCAGGAATGTCACAAATGTTACCCAGGCAGGTGAGGGGACAGCCAAATTCYGCCTGGGAATGCAGCAGGGAGCCCCACTCACGGCATCTCTGTAGGCAGGGCTGCTGTGCAGGGCAGTGTGGAGAACACGGAATTCCCGAATGGCTGCCACCTTATCCACAGGCTCTGCGGGGAAAACACCACAACAAAACACAGCTCAGCCTCAGGCAGCCCTGACAGCCATCTGACATCCCAGCAGGACTTCAGGGATTTTTTTACATCCTTGGGTTTGGTGCAGTTACTGCAGAGCAACGATCGCACTCTGAGATTGTAAAAATACACAGGAATATCCTCCCACACGCGCCATTTCTGGAATGCCAACTCCAACTCCTCTGTTTGAACAGTCAGGCACAGCAGGAGCACACAGGAGCCTGCTCATCCCYGGGGCTTTGCTCCAGATTCCTTGGCAACGCCCTCAAATGGATCGTGGGTAATTAAGGAAGGGATGATCCCCCTTCCATTCTGCACAGCTCATTGTGTCAGCAGGAAAATTAACACTTGTGCGCTGCTGGAAGAGGTAGGGAGTTCCCAAACAAGGGGAGTCATTCCCCTGGAAACATCCAGAGCAGCCTCCCAGGAGCGAATCCCRAGAGAAGCTGTTCCTCACTCCCACATCAAACACAACCCAAGGAGATGCAGGGGTAATCCCCACATTTCCTCACCTGGTTTCTGGTCAGGCTCAGGCCAGGATTTGCGCAGGACATGGACGGTGGAGCCGGACTGGATTCCATAAAAATCCAGGGTCTGGTCATCCCTCAGCTTCCGGCCACAATAGATCAGGTCTGGGGGGAGAAACGCCTGCAGATAAAGCCCTGTGGCCTCTCAGGTGTGATTTAGAGCCCTAAGGGGGTTATTGCGCAGCTGCAGCTGCTCCATCTGCCCTGGGAACAGCACAGGGAAACTGTGGAGCTGGGGATCTGGAGGGAAATCATGCAGCTCATATAGAGGAGGTGGCAGAGTCACCTTTTGTGTGAGAGCCAAACCTCTCAGTTCTTATGAGAGCTCTCACAAGGACACAGAGATGTTGGGAAGCCCAAATACTCCCTAACAAGGGCGCTGACAGCGCTGGAACACTGCGATCCCAAGCAAACAGGGAACAAACACCGAGCCCTCCCACCGGCAGCAGCAGCAGCAGCCGCAGGATGCCGTGTCCCGGCCGCGGCGAGGACGGGCCGAGGGTGTCCCCAAGCGGCGGCACCGCTGCACGCACCGATGAGCTCGGGGTCCGGCACGGATTCCTGCAGCTTGCCCGTGATGAGCTGTTTGAGCTGTGAGATGCTGCAGCCGCCCAGCGGGCACTCGCCCAGCTCGGTCTCCGGCAGGCGCAGGATGGATTTGGGGGCCAGCGGCTGCTCCGCCAGCTTCACGGCGATGTGCCACTCCGGCAGGGYCATGGCAGCTCCCGGGCGGCACCGGCGAGCGGACAGCGCTGCAACGGGGGACACAGCCCAGTGAGGCCGCCGAGCCACCATCGGCTCCCGCCCGCAGCGCCCGG